CAGTCGTGCGCGGAAGGGGACGCGTGGAGTACAAGCGCGCGAAGCCTAGTCCGCACGGGACTAGGCGATGCAATGGCGGCGCGCGATGGCGTGCGAGACGCGCGCGCGCGAAGCCGCGCGCGACAAGGATTAGGTCTCGGAGGGTCGGCGCGCGCATGGCGGTTAGGGCGTGCGTGTGCGAAAGGCGGCCGAATATACATGAGGCATGTGTTTGGAATTGTTTGGAGTGCAAGCCAAGCAAGTTCAAGATCTAGTCAATTTAGGACTTTAGATATTTAGTTTCCTACTTGCACAATAATATCTAGAATGTATAGGATATTTAATATTTAATTGCTTTAATTAGTTTCCTAGGTAGATTAGACTTAGTCATAGTTAGGATCTATAAATAGGGATGATCCCTCATTGTTTTTAGAGGTCGAAGAATGATGAAATAGAAAAGGAACGTTTGTTCAACCGTGTGTTGAGAGTCGTGAGATTCGATCATACAAATCGAATTGGTGAGGCTAAGACCCGAGCCAGTTCAAACGATTAGAGAGGCTAAGACCCGATCTATTCGCGAGTGAAACGAGGCTAATAACCAAGTGAACTCAAGTATCGTGAGAGAGTTAGGCTAATAACCGAGTCGATCACACCTATCGTCGAGAGCAAGGCCGTGGCGAAGCCGTGATCGAGACAAGTCGAGGACACGCAACACCAGATCCTTCATCACCGCGCCCGTCCGTGCCAGCACCCATGCACCGCACCCACGTGCACCGTCACCAACCCCGACCCATGCCCGCATGCACCGTACCCTAGCCACCATGAGCGCATTCAAGCCACCATGAGCCATATCGAGCCACCGGGCGAACCACCGAGCTCCGGCGCACCCGGCGACCGCCGGTGAAATTTTCCGGCGACCGGCGACTTTTCCGGCCAAATTTTCCAGCGAACCTCCTGGGCCCCGTTTTCCGGCCGCCGTCGACATTTTCCGGCCGGAAACGACATTTTCGACCTCCCAGGACCGTTTCGAGCCGTTAGAGCCGTCGGAAACCTTATTTTGCGGCGATTCTACCTCCTTCACCCGTTTTTCTTGGATTTTTCACTCTCTTGGAGCTTTATCGAGGTTCATTGCCCGATTTTTCTTACTCTTGGTGCCGAGATCGTCGTTTTACGAGGTATTCCACTTAGACCAACTCGACTCATTTGTATTTGAATTGGGCGTGATTTTATTGAGTTGGAGGTGATATATGCTAAGTGTGGGGGAGGTGTATCGGGGGCTCATGAGTATATATTGATCATTTGGAGAATTTTGGCTATTGTCTTTTAGTGTGAGGCTCGTGCGGAGTTATTGTTGATTGTTTTAGGGGAAATGCGGTGCAATTTGGCGTTTGATTTGAATTTCACTATACCATTGGTGTCGGTTGTGCGTGAGGTTATGCTTCGATTGAAAAGTTGGTCGGGTCATTCCATGGCGACCATTATTATGGGCTAGAGGCCCGAATTTTGATCTTTCACGATACATGCGTCTACGTCGAGTTTGTGGATTCTCGATTATTATCTCTCCGAGACGTATATATGTGGCCATTACTCGGTGCCTAAAGATGGGATTCTCTTATGCTTTCAAATACCATAGTGCTCGGTTGGCGTATGGATTGATATGCTTTTATTGTTCACACGTTTGGATGGCTTTGTTTTGCACTCGAGGACCTTTGGATTATTTCTCGTATTCTCACCGGACTAACACCATTAGACACACGGTGGAACACCACCGTGTAGAGTACGCGCTTTCTTTTCCCTTCGTTATTTTCTTTTTCTTTTTATTTCTTTGTGCTATGTGTTTCTTTTCTTTTTCTCGTTTGTCTAGTTTGTTTTGTTTTTATTTTTATTTTCTCGCATGAGCTTATGTGATTACATGCTCTTTCCTATGTTTTTTGGTCAAGCAATGAGGACATTGCTTTGTTTGAAGTGTGGGGGAGGGATTTTCGTGATTATGCATGTTTAAGTGATGTTCTCTTCGTTTTTGTGCCTTATTTTTCGTTTTTGTTGTGTCGTGGATCGGTTTTATTTGAGTTTTGGTGTGTTTGTGTCATCTCTCCCGCATGAAACTTGATGTTTGTTCGAGAGTCAAGATAGCCAAGTGGTGAGTCGAGATTATTGATTGGTTTCACTATTCGCGTTCATGC